ACATATGAATATAATTAACAGTGTTTAGCTTCATGAAAGGTAAGTAAATAAGACGAACCTCATTTATCCTCTTTGCTACCTTCTCTATTTTGCAAATTCATACCGACCATGTCATGCGCATTTAAATTATACACGGCTGTCCGTTCTATCTTTTAATAAAAGAATTATCCTGTTTTTTTGTTGTTGATGAGTTGAATTAATTTTCTAGAATTATTTGCCATTGCCCATTTTTTCAGTTCTATGCCATGTTCACTTGTCCCATCTCCGTTGAATAAACGTGGAATATTTGTTCAGGAAGTTATGCAAACAACTTTTAATCAATTATTCAAACTTCTTCAGTAATTTGGAAAGGAAAATCATTCAATTGTTTGCATATCATAGTGATGACATTTCTTCTTTGTCATTATGTACGTATAACCTTTTTACATTGTATGAACTACATGCACATTTACCTAGAAGAGGAAGAAGTCTACATGACTTGATTTTATCTTCATTGACCAAATTTGTGCAGCTATTCTCAATATTTTTCGAGGACAGCATAGTTTTCAAGAACATAGAAATCACTCTCGGGTTAATTTGTAAATTTAAATAAAAATCGGCAACGTAATTCAACATAACATGATTATATGAAATACAAAACCCAGCCTACGAAAAATTTTCATTAATTAGTGTTTTATATTTTATCTGAACATCATTGACGTTTTATGAAGCATGCCATTTACAAATATCAATATTCAATGCACAAAAAGTACTTTTAGGCGTTTAACCATTGACTAACCATTGACTAGTAGACACGTATACTCTAATTCATGCATTCAATATAAAAATAATAAGATGTGGTTAAATTGCAAATGACAAATCAATTAAAATAGTTTACCATAAGGCCTTCAACTATGAGCAAAACCCATACCGCATAGCAAGCTATAAATAAAAGGACCCCAAATGACAAATGGAAAACAATTCAAACGAGAAATATAATGGCCTAATTTATGTACCAAAATAATTGTTTACTTTTTACACATTGTGACTTGGGTGTATAGTTGTCTCATTGGCACTCACACCACATCTACTTATCTATACTCATTATACTATATCTGTTGAACTTTTCGTCCATTAAGAATGCTCATTTGTACACGTCGTGTTATTGCCATTATTTTCTGCATTTCTGTTGTGCAGAAATCGTGTATATCAGAGACATATATTTGTATTATGTGTCTCTGGTTATAGATAGTTTCACACCTTCTTTTTTCATTCCTTAAACATATGTAGATATGATTATAAAAGATAAAAACAATATCAATGTTATTATTATCAAGAAATGTTACTTGTAAGAACAAGTTGTTTTAATATCTAAAAATGTCTAAAATCTGATTTTTGTATCTACTTTATATATATTTAAACTATCATAGAAGTTTTAAAAATGAAATTCAAACTTCTCAATGTTTTTATAGCAACATCAGCATTTTTTTACCTTAATCACGCGACTCTTGTACTCAATTCTCACATTAACTTTCCATGGACAATTTAACAAATCATCTACAACATTGAAAAGCACAATAACAAATTGAATTTGAAGTTAATTATGTCATTTTCTCGAGATTTACGTTTTTGTTCTTTAATTATATCATATATCATAACGTACTCCCATACAGCTACAGTGGTTCGTTATTGCACAGCGCTATGATGTAATTTTCATAGACCACGCAATATGATTTAACGTCTAGAAACAATTCGTGATGTGCCTAAGTTATTTGATAATTTACAGAATGATGACCTTTTATATAGAAAAAAGTATTCAGTTGGAACATCACCGTTAAATTGATATAAGTTGTTAATTTTGTTCTTCTTTCTTGTCAGGTACTTGCGGATCGACTCAGTCTGTGGTTTTAAATTTAATGGAACGGAATATATGGCATCACGTTCAAAAGATTAAAAATTATATGCTCTAGCCTTTTTAGAAAAAAAAAACACATCTTCTTTTATCTATATCCACATGATTTATTGAAGGCTTAATGTTTAGTGGCAAAACATTCTTTATCCTATAGACTATCTTAACAATATCTACTCGCTTGATTTAAAAACCGAACATTCTTTTTTTGTCGCAGGGAATGTTTTTTTTCATTGTTTGTTTGAATGTGAATTTTTTATGAAAAAAATAATGAGTTTTAGAAGGAAAGTGAAACTATATATAAAAATAAGAAGATGTGTTGGTTTTTATGAAAATTAGAAAAAAAATTGTAAAAACAGATTTGATTTTTGAAAAACATAAGAAGATGTATAGTTCGTTTCTTATGACAATTAGAAAAAATATAATAAAACAGATTAAATTTTTGAAAAAAAGCCTATTTCGTTGATTAAAACCTAGTTTATTGGTTTGTCTTGACAAAACAATTTTTTTCCTACCCAAAATATGATTGTTTTGTACCTTCCAGTTACATTACGTATTTTTTATCCTCTAGAATATCATTGATTATTTCCAATTTAACGTTAAGCAACAATAATTAATCAATCAATCTTGATGTGTTTTGTCGAATTAGATTCCTTGTTTTTTATTCAGTCAATTTGTATCATTTCGATAGTCCTGGTATCAACAAAAAAATATATATATATATATATATATAAACACAATTCGCATATCTGCTTTCGGAAAGCTTTGAAAATAAAACTGCGTAGAAAAGTGTTTTTCAACAATTTCAATATTAATTTCTTGTGATCTGCAAATTGCTGAAGGCTAACATTCAACATTGAATAATCATAGTTTAATATTTCTCACATTGAAGAGAAAAAGTAAACAAAGCATATCAAAATCCTTATATAACTGTAATTATTACCTTAATCAAAGAATTTAAATACGTTTGTTCCAATTCATATCAGTATTGTCGAGATTTCACACGCCATCATTAGTATGTATCTGATGTTTGCAAAATATAGTTTGGACATCAAATGCTTCGATTCATTGATAAAAACCTTGATAACAAACCCAAGACAAAGTGAAAACGTCAAAAACTAATCCCAGACAAGTGCTGCTATTGTACAATTAAATAAATTAGGATCTACAAAGTCTAAAATATTGCTATATCCGTCTGTTGTCACAAGCTTCAAATCTTCAGTTATCAAAAAGTGTCAATTTGCAATCTTGCCACAATGAACGGCACATAAACTCACATAGGCACCAGCAGTTTTTAGAAATCATTCCGGTCCGAAAACGACTCTAAACAATTGTATAAATAACTAATTTAAGATTAAACTTTTTTTGTTAAGATATGATTTATAAAAAGCAACATTTGAAAAAAAATTGAATTTCCAAATTTTCAGTCAAAGTTTTCAACCACACCTCATAAAAACAATTCATTACATATTAATACACTTTACAATATAGTCAATAGGCATCATCGTGCTAATTTGGCAGGATACCAAGTTAGTGTCTCCGCGGACAAGTTCATGGTAGATTTGACCAATAATAACAATAGAAGAAACAGGATATACACAATATGTCCTCTCCCATTTTCTATTAGGACGAACAATAAAGAACAACACGATTTCGTCCACTAGTATAACCAAAACTGCATTTATTTATTCGCAATTAAACTCAAAGTAATAGGTAATTTATACGTAAAGAATACGAACAACAATTTACCCAAATATAAGGTTTCAGAAAGCCTGTATATGACTTAAGTGTGTCTTTCTATGTTATGATGTTACACTATTGTTTCAGATAAGGGTGAAGGTTTGGTACCATTAAAACGTATAAACCCGCTGCAATTGTTTGCACGTGTGTGTAAGTCAGGGATCTGATGTTCAGTAGTTGTCGTTTGTTGATGTGGTTCACAAGTGTTTCTCGTTTCTCGTTTTTTATATAGATTAGACCGTTGGCTTTCCCGTTTGAATGGTTTTACACTAGTAATTTTTGGGGCCCTTTATAGCTTGCTGTTCGGTGTGAGCCAATGCTCCGTGTTGAAGACCGTACTTTGACCTATAATGGTTTACTTTTATAAATTTTGACTTGGATAGAGAGTTGTCTCATTGGCACTCATACCACATCTTCTTATATCTATATACATCCAAATTTACGCTCATTTTATTTTCTGTGCCGATAACCGGACTTCATCAAAAGCCCCACTGAGACAACAATCTGCACTGTCGATCAGCCATAACATCGGTTCTACATACACAACATGCTGAATAATGTTAAATTATACTGATCTGTATCTCAGCAATTTTGTCCATTACCACAGTTTGTTGAATGCTATTAATATCAAAAGAAAGATATACAAATTAGGTGTTTAAATGGAAAGCGTCACCGAACGATTTTCTCCCTGTTTGTTTTTAAATAAATGTCCGGTATAATCATTTACCAAAGTTTCTTAATGACCAGTATAACGTTATCCATCCGTTTATCCATTAACTTGGTAAAATAATGCAGATGCATATACTTTTACATAGAGAAAGAAATAAAATTACAATTTGAAACCATGTAAGAAAACTGTTTGACATCACAAGCTGACCATGGTGCTAGCTTTTGTTTTTATCTTTCTGTTCATAATATATTTATTTCTTGGTAAAGTGTACTATGTCAAATATAGTATAATGTAATGATTATTTTGTATTAGAAAAGACTTCGGAACGTTAAAGCTAGTGTCCAGTATATTTTTCTTTTTCTTGTTTTGACGATAAAATTTGTCCGAATGGTAGTATATATTTTCATTATGTACTACAAGACGTAAACAGTCCTTTTTTCGTAATATAAATGGCACTTTTGGAATAACCGTATTATTTAAACAAACGAAACAATTATCTTTTGAACGAATGGAACAATTCCACCCATAATACAATGTAAAAGACAGTCTTACCTTTTGAACAAATGAAACAATTCCACCCATAATACAATGTAAAAGACAGTCTTACCTTTTGAACAAATGAAACAATTCCACCATAATACAATGTAAAAGACAGTCTTACCTTTTGAACAAAAGGAACAAATATGTAAAAGACAGTCTTACCTTTTGAAAATATGTAGTCCAACATTTGTGTCGTTCCTTAGAATTATCCAACTGTCAAGGACAAGTTTCACTTCCTCCTCCGACACGAATGACGTAATTTGTGCATCTGGATTGTCAAATCTGACGTCAGAATAAGTGCAACCCATTCTTTCATTAAAACTGTTGGTTTGGATAATCTGAAATCAACATCGATCTTTGATCCGACTTCGTTTAATTCCCATTGCTATTAAAGACAGTTAGTCTTATAACGGTATTTTAAAGCTTAGTTCTGAACAGGTGTTCATCATATTGATGCGGTTCATTGGAATTTTAATTTCCTTGGTGATTTAGATTTGTTGCAGATTTACCTGTTGTGTAGTAGATGTCCAAAATGATAAACAATTGATTGGTAAATGACTAGTAAATAGATTAATGAACTACCGTAATTTGTCCGGCCCTTGTCTTAAAAACTTGATTAATTTACTAAAACAACCAATATATAACAACTCTGCAATGACAATTGAGATCTTAGAACGACAAAACGTGAGAAAACCGAGAGAACGATCATTTCATATAAATCCATTTAGACTGTTATGACACTGCATTATGATTAATACACAAATGTTACCAGATAATTTTTGTAATTCAGCAACATCCAGAAGTTAACGATCAATACCGTATTAACTATGCATATTTTATTGTTACTTTGTAAATCAAAGTAAAGCTTACCTTATCGAAAGTTGTAATAGTTAATTAAGGACGATTCCAATATATGGATTCTTAAATTGTACATAGAATTATAAACAGTATCGAATTTATATATGTTTCAAATATAACTGTAACATATATTGATATGCAGCAGCTTCTATTATTCCATATTTTAGTTTTAGAAACATGATTTTTGTTTAAGTTGTTATTGACTTTGTACTAGCTTCCAGTAACTTTGAATACTCTCAGATCTGTATTTTGTTTGTTTTGTGTTTTTGTTACCCAGGTTAGGGGAGAGTTTTGCGTCAGCAAACATTCTGTATGTGGCTGTCCCTAGTCAGGAGCCTTTAATTCAGTGGTTGTTGTTTGTCTCTGTGTATCATATTTGTTTTTCGTGTATCGTTTTGTAAATACAGTAGGTTTTTTCGTTTGAACTACTTTACATTATTCATTTTGATGCGTTTTATAGGTAACTATGCGGTATGGGTTTTGCTTATTGTTGAAAGCCGTACGGTGACCTATAGTTGTAAACTGCTACGTCATTTGGTTTCTGGTTGATAGTTGTCTCATTGGCAATCAAAGCACATCTTAACTTTATAAAGATGGATTCAAAAGGTAAGAGTCTCCTTAAATGATACAGGTGCCAACACCACTTTTTTTTAATTGCTGTACATTGCTGTAGAAAATTTTTATATGTCTATTCAGAAACGGTCATTAGGCAATAATTAAAGTTGTCGATGCGCCAATTTGTAGGAATCCATAAATAAGTCAAATATGATAACTTGTGTCAACGAAATGTGTCAAATTCTATCACATGAAAGTATTGAATAGCTAGAAATTTTAAATTGTTTATTGCGTAATGTCCTTTGGAAAATGATGCTTCTTGGTCTAGTGGTAGCAGTACGCTACAATAAATTTTATTAACTTATCACAGTGTCCTAATCACAGCAAAATAATTACAAATAATTACCGCTACAAGATAAAACATACGATACTAAACAAGATTTTAATGACTGGGTTGATTGTAACACGCATCCTTGGCTTTCAAATGTTTAGGTTCAGTGCTTGAAAGTACACCAAGCAAAGCGCTACGGGAGCATAAAGTATTTATTTCATATACGATTCATATATAAATAATAAAGAAAAGAATAAAAACAGCAATGTCAATGCCACTAGAAACACAAGAAAGCATTTTAGTATGCTCGCCGACAATGTTTAGGTCTTGGGTTTGTTTCCAAAAGAGAGGCAAAAGATACCGAAGGGAATAACCGTTTCACAGATGATATCGAATATGTTCCTTATGTCGTGACTACAATACCCTTCCCTTTTCACGAATGTGACTTACCGAATTAGACTATTTACCGGATTTGTAATAACATAAGCAACTCGACGGGTGCCACATGTGGAGCAGGATCTGCTTACCCTTCCGGAGCACCTGAGATCACCCCCAGTTTTCGGTGGGGTTCGTGTTGCTTAGTCTTTAGTTTTCTATGTTGTGTCATCTGTACTATTATTTGTCTGTTTGTCTTTTTATTTTTGGCCATGACGTTGTCAGTTTGTTTTCGATCTATGAGTTTGACTGTCCCTCTGGTATCTTTTGTCCCTCTTTTAAGCTCATAAGTCGAAAATAAATTGACAACGCCATGGCAAAAAAAGAAAAAGACCTAAAGACAAACAAAAGTATAAAAAACACAACATAGAAAACTATAGACTGAGCAACACAAACCCTACCAAAAACGGGGGTGATCTCAGGTTCTCTTGAGGGGTATGCAGATCCTGCCCCTCATTTGGCACCTGTCGTGTTACTCAAATAAGATCACACCCAGAGATAAGTCTAAATCATTCGGTCACATTCGAGGAAAAGGAGGACGGGATTGTTGTTACGACGATTGGAACATATCCGTCGTCATCTACGAAACAGACATTCAATAACGGTCTACCAACTCATGATGGCGTCCGTAAAACTTTTTATTGAATGATGATTTCAATTTCCCCACTCGGAACTCTTCGTTTAATAATTTCTTTGTGAACAGCAACCTTCTATCAAGGACATCATGATGCAAACCACGTAGATTCAATCAAACTGAAGACTTAACACTTGTTCTTGCTGCTACTCCGCTGTAGTTATATAATTAAATGTGCTGATTGGATGTTGCATTGTGTCCCAGAACGTTAATAAATCTACTAACCGTGTTGGACAACAACAAAAGAGTTAATATTCATATGAAGTCGGTTGGTTATCGTCCTGAATAAGCACGTGATATTTTCCTCTTAATGTTCCGCAACAAACAATCGATCGGTACAGCAAAAACAACACATGCATATTCATCCTTAGTATGCATAACTGACAATTTTGATTGCACATGGATCTATAAACGATTTGTTTGTTTACCCTTAAAGTACGAAGTGATATATCGAAAAAGGCATTCCAGGTACAGGGTGACAAATGGGGAGGTAAATAAGTATAACAAAAATAAGGAAGGCAAATTCAAAAAGGGGAAGTCCATAAAAACTGACAAAAGCAAACGTCATGTTCCTGACTTAGTATAGGCATTTTCTGAAGAATGTTGGGTTTAACCTGGTTTTATAGCTAGCTAAACCTCCCACTTGTGTGACAGCTGACCAAATTAGGTGAGCAACCTAAAAGACATAGTAGGTTAATGTGACAACAATTGTGACCCTGCAGTCAAAACTGTGTAAACAAACATCAGAGACATACAACAAAACTGACTCACAAAAAAAATCAAACAAACAAACAAATAAATCTAACAAAGATGACAACAAAAAAGGTGTAGTAGATAGTAAATATGACAATGGCGTCAAAACATAGCGTTTTTGTCGTTGATAGTATATACCGTATATAATATACACTTTCTTGAAGTAAGAAAAATTATTGATTATTTGTTGTTTACTAAACTTTCATAGGCAAAATTTCATGCATATTCGGAACGAGAACAAATTAATAAGAAATGAAATTGGTGGGTAAAGCAAAGTTTGTCGACATGAATTGTATTTTACTGCCACTGGAATTTGAGAGTATGCTGAATAAAGGCCACCTATGGACCCCTGAAAAATGATGTTGAAAGTCCTCTTAAACGCAGAGAGAAGTTGACACTCCCCAATAACGAGGCTTCGAATTTAACGTCTCCATAACGACCGGATGTGGCTGCGTATTTATACACCATGCGCAGCCGAAAAAACGCCTTTAGTATGGGATTAACTGCCGGTGAGAAAGTAACTCAGGCAAACATTGGATTCAGAATCTAATCAGAATATATCGTAAACTATGAACATCAAACGGACAGCATATCAGGAACATTGACAGGTTAGACATCTTTTGCTTTGCAAGCATTATCTGTTATGTGACCTTAAACTTGACCCAAAAGTCTTGACCCAAGTAGTAGGTGTCAAAACAAGGAAAATATTAGATATAAAGTCTTAAACCGATGTTCAGTTAATATTTCATAAGTCCAGGTTTTAAACAGACAAACGTAAGAGATGGTGTAAATTTCAAAATAGAGCGGAACCATCTGCATCGACTAAGTGAGCATCTCTTACAAATCAATGCATCACTGGAAATAAATTGCGCTAGTTGTATGATCATTTATTTATATCAAATGAACATTTAAACCCTAAAGGGTTAAAGGCGTCTTGATTACAACAGAAATTATATCGAAAGAAAGTAACCGATTATTGATGGCGAACGTAAAACGTAGATTTTGAAGGAAATTACTGTAGTGGACAGACAGCGTGTCTTTCACTTGACGTTAAGAAAGCAACAATTGAACAATCAAATTGAATTATTTGTGCAATTATTTATAGTAACAGTAGTTATTCAGTTACAAAACACCGGTCTTTTATTGGCTGAAGATGAATCAACTGGTTCCATTACATTTTTTTCAAATCTTGTAATAACAAACAACGCAAGAATTATTCGCTCAGCCCACCTAATTAAACAGAACTTTCCCAAACCGATCTTAATGAAATACGTACATTTGTGTAACATTATATAATATCTGTATAACAACTACTATTTATTCCGAAAGTTGCCTGACCCCTCATATCATTTTTTTTCAAATATATTGAAAACAGTTTAGAATCAACCTTTTCAATTATACATGTATTTTTCCTTGCCATAGTGATACATTTTCAATACTAGAATATGATTATTTGGCCGTTTTTGTTTTACTCCAATTACTTCGAATTCGAAATATTGAGGAGAGATATCATTTCTTTGTCCTAGTTTCTTCCGAAAGACGGTATATTATTTAACGCGTGGTTGACCAACTCCTTGCATATATCAAGTGATAGCAATATATTTTCAAATGTACATGTATATCCCGATGGTATACACGATAGACTCTAGTTAACAAAAAAGAATTCAATATGAATAAAATGAAATATACAAACTTCATAAAATTGTGAATGGAAAAGGGGAATGTGTCAAAGAGATAACAACACGACCAAAGAGCAGAAAACAGCACAAGGCCACCAGCATATTAATGAACACTATCCAAATAAGTTTTGTCTTAACTTTGATATTTCGTCGAAAGTTTTTTTTTTCCTTTCACTATATCTAGAACCGAGCCAATCAATGTTATCTGTCTTTCATGCTATGTTTACATATATTTTTACAGTGTTCATATAATTGTTTGTTATATTTAAAATTGAGAATGGAAATGGGGAATATG